TTTTTTTTCACTGTTTTTGGCCTGAGCTCGCATTTTGTGTATAATAAAAAAGTCGTCAGGAAAGCTTACTGTGTTAATCTAAGAATTACAGGGTTCCGTGGTAATAGGCGGTAGAAGTTGCCATGTATTAATCAGCAACGAGTTTGTTACTAAATATTGATGAGGAGGATTAACTTTTAATCCCTGTGGGTCCTTTTGAACTTCAGAACTACAATGAGTCCGGTACTGTTAGTGTTAGACTAGGAGCCAGCAGCAAGGAATCACAAAGTTGGTGCAACGACAGACGAGATCTCTACCATGCCAATAGCCTGCGGATCGGATCCTGCTCCCGGAACTTCTGGGCTAAGGGGAAACGTCAATTGTTCACCCGATTGCCCCATTTTCCATGTTTGTAGTTACTCACATGGGCGATGTTTTACGGTGGTCGACGTAAAAACGAAAATGACCCAGATTTTACCTAGTTTTTCCTGTCTATAGGCAACAACAAACTCGGCCTTGATTCTTAAATGAGCCATCAGTTCCCCTCAATGGTAGGGGATTAGGTCGATCAAAGACACACATATTCTTCACTAGTTATTTTCGGGGTGGATTGGTCTTTCAGATAATTATCGAGGTTTTTGATTAAGTTTTTTAGCAGAACAAAAATATCCTATACTGTACTTGAATAATACAAGAGGCCATAACGACATAATTTACCTGGCTTCCTTCTCATCACAGACGGCATCCAAACGTCGTTCATTTTCTTTTTTCATTTTTTCAATATATGCTCGCTCTCGTACCAGTTCATCGGCGCTCAAGCGGGAGATCCTGAACCGAGAAATCGTACTAATGGGATACTAGTCTTCGGGTCTTCAGTATTGGTATTTTTCACAATTACTGGCTTTTCAAACGATGCTCCCGAGTCACAAAAATGGCGCCGCCGCCAACTTTTTCTTGGAAGAAGCTCACATCATCGTTTCTAGTGAGTACGATCAACAGCTTCGCATGGACTAGGAAACTGAACGAGGGCACTTCGATAATCCAGAAAGACGCTAGGCCGTTGACGTTGCTGAATAGGTCTGGGTTGCATGGATTCCGGGTCTGTTCGTAGATTTTTTTTTCCAAAAGCGATGTAATCGCGGAAAATGAGGATAAAGTACTACCGGAATCCTGTTACTATTTTGGGGGGTATGCGTTGTTTTCACTGGATGTTCGGTTGGCAGACGGTATTTGAGGGGATAATTGCATAAAGAACGGGAAATTAAAGTAATTTCCTTTATTTACGTAGCGATTGTTTATCAACTGAGGCGGAGCTTTTCTATATAGTAGGCGTTTCACTTACGAAATGGGGTAGCAACTTGACGACAATACGGAAAAGAGGACTCCAACTGTAGGGCAGTAATATAGACACCTCCTTTAAGGAAATGGGGAAGATAGCTCAGCGGAGTTGTCCCACCCCCTCAAAGGTGTTCTGCAGCATGAATTCAGTGACCTAGTAGTACCGTATCTTTCAGTAATTGCGAAGAAATACCCGGAAATGGGACTGTTGCATATTTTCTTCGTCAGAATCGTGTAAAGAGTAATCTTCTGGGAAGAACTTTGATGAATGTTCCTACCTGAGTAAGCTCCTAGAAGATGAACAGGCATCGTCGGCTGATCGGCGGCTGGATGACATCGGAAAAAGTATCGTCGAGTTAGTCGTTCAAAATAAACGGAAGGTTTGAGAGGAGGAAAATGAAGAAAGAATGAAATTGTCGAAAAAATTGTCAGGGTTTTTTCAATATTTTTCATTCTTGCTTCACTTCTTCGCCCTTCTGCTCTTCTACACCACAATTTTTATGCCCATATTTGTCTCTTACCTTGGCAGGGGATGGCGCACTTTGACTTCGACACGAGCTCGATGGTGCTGTTGAGATTTGAGTTGCCTATAAAATGTACTGTGGCGACGAAGTTTAGAGAATTTTGAGTGGGTCCTCAAACCTCAAGAGAAATGAGTAGAAGGTCGTCGATTGTCCTCGCAACGTCGCCGTCATTCGCCCTCAAAACTCGTTCAATTTCTTCCTTCGAAATCGATGGGAACATCATCGAGAAGTCCTTCATCGCCTGAAAAACGAGTTCTGGGGCTCAGTTTCACTTGTCTACAGAATATATTCATGTGGAACAGATTGGAGACAGCGGCTGTCCCTACAACCTGTTCGGTCCGGAATTCAATTTGGAAAGAATGATCGTTTTCTTCGTTCATTCAAATCACTCAATTGGTAAAAATCTTAAGAACGATGTAAGGGAAGAGGACTTTAGGTCTGGGTTTCTTCAGCATAAATTAGTTGCTCTCCATGCGCTGGAGATAATACTATGCGCCGTCCTAGCGCTCGTCCATTACGGGTTCAACTATCGGAACGCTTACCGTAACCACACAGGAGGCCATTCGGAGGTTACGATCACATAAAAACTCACTTTCTTACTTTTATGTGATCTTATTCCATCAACATTTCGAGGTGAATTATGTGGTCGATGCAGTATCGGCGCAATCATTTCAGTCGAACCTTCCGATGAATGCCCTACCACTGATGTCCAACCCTCATCGACTTCGTCATGACACCCTTTTCGATAACAAAGCTGTCGAATACCCCCGTAAGCGTTGTACCTAGGCTCGAACACGGAATAATCAGCGAAAAATGTGCGGTGTACAACGCTCTGACCTAATGTCACAGCTGGGGGTACCTCCTTACATGAGCAGCAATGGAAGTAAACTAGCATTTCATCAATTCAGTCTCAAAAAAAAANAAAAAAAAAGAATAAACCAAAGTCATGTATAAATTATGAGCAGTCGGCAAGCCTAAAGTGAAGGATGGAAGTTTCAAAACGGCGTTTCACTTTCATCGTGTGGCAAACACCTCCCTGATTACGCAAGGCTTCCCACCCTGCGGTTTTAATGGTGCTCAACTCACCCACTTTCAAAATTTTCTTATTACTAGCATTATTTACTCGTATGGTTGGAATCCCTCCACAACGTGATACCATCGGGAACAAAACTTTACAAGTGTCGAAGGGAAAGGCCTATTGAAAGAAGACAAAATACACTCAGAAAATCGATCGAGTATCGATTAAAAAGCGGAAGAATTAGCAATAAAACGTACTGTCTCGAATTCGAGCAGCTCTTCTTTAGCCTCCTCCGCCATGCCTACTGATTTCCTGAAATCGAATAGAGATTCTCTTTCAAAAAGAAACGAATTGTTCGAAATCGAAAGAACATGACGACAAATTTGCGAACGAACGAAAACAGATGGACATTGTTTGCAGAGTGAAAGAAGAACGGCTGCGCATTATGTTCTGAAAAAGAATGAGGCCATGAATATGCACCAGAATGAAATCGTTCCGCCGCATGACCTTCTGCTGGTATTGACTGGTACTCGGCGTAAATGATTACGGAGTTGTGTCCTCCCCTTGAGATGTCACAAAAGAAAACCGCGAAGGGAAAGTACTTGGGTGGTCTGGAGGAGTGAGGGAAGGGTGTGAGCTAAAGAATATTACTGCAAAGGTGAAGAAGAGTATCTTCCAAGCACAGATAAAATTGAGACGATATCAGAAGTGCAAGGCTTATTTCCAGAAGATCATGACTTCAGCTAAAAATCAGAGCTTTTTAATTTTCAAGCGTACATATTTTCAAGTACTCGCTGATTATGAGCGGAGTTGGTGTAGTGGCAAGTGGAGCATGTCACACACTCATGGTCACCGGTTCGAATCCCGGATTGATATTCGCCTGAGTCAACGAAGCCCTCCTTTCTTCCGGGGTTGGTTGATTGGTACCAGACTCGTTTGGGAAGATAAAAGCACCGGCTTGTACATCGGTTGATCACCGCAAGTCATTGTGTAGGCCACATACGCATTCTCTACCCCACTGCGATTCTGAATGGAAGCCGAGTGCGCAGGCGCATCCCTCTGACGGGATTGAATAGCGCTCCAAGTCTTTATTCTTTACCTTTTATTGCCAATTATTTGCTAATTTATTTATTAAAGATGATGTTTATATGGGTGGGGATTGAGTGGGGGCGAGTGGCGCCCTATTATACCAGCATGGGCACGGGTTTGAATCGCGGATAGTCATCCGCCTGGACTGCAAGCCTCGTATCCCCTGTAGTCGGCCAAGTGATACCGGACTTGTCTGGGAGGACAAGGCATGCATCACTTGAAAGGAATTAATCAAAGCCAAAAGATCTCAAATTAATATAAATTTATAATTAATATTCTACCTTCCCGCGCATGTTTCCCTGTCACAAACAGATATCCAATAAATGGGAAGTTTGGCTGCCCAAGACTAATGATGATTAGGTATCCGATTCAAATTCAATCGGGGGTACCATTTGGTACCGTCCCACCTCCACCCCATGTGTCGCACTATATGAAGACATATTGTACTGTGGGTGAAAGGCTATGCAAATGACAGGGTGATGAGGGTAGCACGTCATATGTACGCCATACATCATTCTGAAACGGCCCCCGAATGACAAATTCAGTAAAAACCACTTCGATGCTGAATATACCATTTTGATTACCGAGTTGCTCCCCTCAGAAAGGAGAAACCATAGGAAACCTAAGAACGAAGTCCAAATCTGCCAAGTTCATTTTCAATGACCTCAGATGGGTGAAAAAACCCCTCAAAAAGCTGTCATTTCTAAATTCCCAACAAACTTCAGGATGAGTCAAGCACAGGGCTCACTGATTGGCTGTCCGAGTTACCTCGGCGTACCCAATGGCTACTTCCTGTGTTTAACGTTTTCGTGACAAGCGAAAATTAAGTGCTATAAGAACAGCTGACAGCTGCAAAATACTGAAAATCATTGCGATCGGATGAAATAAAAATGGAAGAAGTGGATTGGAAAAGAGTCGGAGTGGAAGGCCAAGAAATGGCTGCTGAATCGATTGAAGAAGTGTAAAACTGGATCACTCCCAGGCAAGTTGGAGCGAGACATATGAAAGACAAGCTGATTAAATTCTGTGTAAAGGAGAACTCGTAAGAAACCAGTGCGACAGGTGTGAAGGAGGGTCTTCGGGAGGGCGGTCGCCGACCACCGGCAAACTCGTTTGTGAATAGGAATAAATACATCGAGATGAATCGTCCTTCTATGCGAACGAAGAAAATTGACGACGACCTTCCCAGACGTCCAATCTCGTTCGGGTGATAGACACCAGCTGAACAAACTCATCAGTAGCATGCAATAAACCCTAAACCAGTTCTTAGAAGGAGATGGAGGAGATCGAAGAGGGAGGAAAGAGGTGCTGTGGGAGAGAGAAGACTACTATCTCAGATACTCAGATAGCCTTGGAAAGGGATCAAGCTGTTATAAACGCAACATGAATGTGCATGGCCGTCATTGTTATTCATTTATTCGTTTGTTTATTTATTTGTTCATTTTTGCTTTTCAATTGCACTCCCATGGAAAGGGGAACTGTCTAATTGAATTGAATGAGTAGTCTGATCAAGGTTGACTATTACCATGTTATTTATGAAGCTTTTTGTAAACAAGTAATCAAACAAATAGAAACAGGCGAAGATTACTCCGTCCAGTTGCTATAGAAAAAGTTGAAGCCCTGTTGGCGGAAGAGGATCATGTGAACATCAGCTGACGCCTCGCATCCCATCACATAGACGGCTTAATGCTAAGATGTCCTTTAAGTTGGAATAGGTCACTAAAAAGCCTCTATGGGAATATTTGCAATAAAAATAAATAATAAATTAAAACAAGCTGTTTATTGTATCACCACTGACACGTAATAGGGAGCTTGTAGAAGGAAATTTCACAAGAAGAACGCTACGACCGAGACCATACAATATAAGGAAAATCGTAGTGTTTGCTTTGAAATAAAAATTTTCAAGGAAAAAATAAGTCTTTTCGAAATTATGTTTTGAAATGAATTCATTCAGAAAAATATTCGGAAAAATTATTTAATAAAACTATTAGTATGAATTATAAATAAACAGGGGGTATAGATGATGCCAGTGCTCCCGGGATAACCCCTAACCCCTTTAATCGTCCCCCCCCCCATCCCCTTCCACTCCCCTGAAACCGTCTATTCCTTTTATGGTTGTCTCACCAGCAACGGACCCCTCTGAGAGAGTGAACCAGTGTAAAGTTCCTTTTGACACTGAAGACAGTACACCTCCGAATGCATCTGAAATTCCCAGCGGAAGTCGAGCACACGGCTCATCTCCAAAGAAGCTAGTCTGACTGATTACTTCGTACTTTCTTATCATGTGCACCATCTGAAAGCAACATTTTCCCAGGGAGTCTACATTTGTCAACATCTGTCCCCGAACGGCAACGACTCATAAATCGCACATTCATCGTTTTATTTTGGCTGCTGCCGTCAGGTCGTCGCATCAACAAAAAACAACACGACGAAGCCAAAGTCCCAACAGTGGACTTGAAGCTGTCTGTGTAGTTGGAAGAAGCAACCCATCAAAGAACATACGAAATTCGGTTTTAAGCTGACGGCTGGGTATACGCCAGAACCGGCAAGTCCCAAGCAAAGCTTAGGGAGCGAATTTTGCGGTCAAATACCACCTTCAGAAGGTGTTTCTAGCTATTGTGACAAGAAGGTGGGTGATTCCCGCATTACAGTTTGGCTTGTTTCACTTCTCAGATAGCTCGCTCTTGCTCCACTCCCGGAGAAGTTCCTGAACCTCATTTAGACAGACCAGCGAGTGGCCACTGCCCTGCTTCCCTACCGCCCTGCCAAAACAGCGGCCAGGGTAAAGAATCGAGTAATCGACCCATGAGAACTCCTCAACCAAAGAGTTGTTGAGATTTTTCAGTTCTACTCAATGCAGGCTACCCAGGTGATACGTAACGGCACCAAATTGGTTCTACCGTTTTTTTTTTCGAAAATAATTCCGATAATCACCTGTCTTAGCAACGCCTGTCATTCTGAAAGACCTCAGGATCAGCTGTTCGGGAGAATTTTTTTGTATTTTTTTATATTGCTATTTAAACTTCCCAGCTTGCCACCACGCCCTTCTGCAGCAGCATATTAAATTCGATTTTCAGAATTACATAAGCTGAATATTTTAGCAATTCTGATGCCAGTGACTTTCTGGGAGCCTTTTTATACCCAATCATATTCAGAAAGGATGTACGGCTTCGAGGATTACGTATGAAAATTCCCCTATACTCAAAAGGACTCCTCTAATGGGCAGGGGAATACGAGACGACAGGAAGGCCAGGAAGTACCACTTATGTGTGGTACAGGAGCAAATCTGCAGTAGCTGAAGACTGAAGGAAGGCGCGAGAAGGGACAACTGGGAAGTGGGGTCGTTTGCAAAATTGCATCAATATTTACAAATCCAAGATCAGGATTTTTTACTAATCTCAAGAATAAGAAGGCTCCAAGGGTCGTTATGGTCCGCTGAACCGCACTGTTCGCTTGGATCGATTCCTATGATTCGTGGTACACCCATTTTGATTCAATCAATATCTATGACTAACATACCATCTCTCCACAGTTGCCGCCTACTCTAGCCCTATCCTTCTTTCTTGCTGGACGCACTCATCATATCGATGATATCGCCACTACCGAACACAGTACAGAATGGAAAGAGGTGTTTCCTACAGTATCCATATATAGTAAATAAGTAGCTGCTCTTTGAATCTGAAAACTAATTTTTCTCTGTTAGCCTATTGGGGACTAATTATAAGGCTCAAAAGGCCCCCCCTGATAAGTTCCTCGAACTTTGTCGCCCAGGCCGATTTGGGAACAAATTCTTTCGTTCTAAATGCAGGACAAAGAGGCTGTGGTATTCCAACGGAGACATGTGATTTCCGCTAACTTTTTTCTCTTCTCATAGCCTAAATTCTTCAACGGACAGACGGCCGTCAATGTCGTCGCTATCGTTGAAAAGTCAGTGAACGAACGATGTAGGAAAAACTATTCCAATCCCAAATGAGGGAATCTGAAATTCACGTGATCATGGCACGATCGAGAAAAGTCACTGAGAGTGTCGTTCTATTACAAGGGAGACTTTTGAGCTTCCAAAGATTATATCCAGGAAGACCGCATAACTAATAAGAGCTATTCAAGATCGAATAGGATTGGGCATGAGCCAGAGAGCTATCGAATGAGACAGCATTGACGTCTAGCTAGCAGGAGCATCTGGTGACGCAATGCTACTGGAAATTTACGA